AATACATCATTTCCTCAATGATGCCAGATGTGTTTCAGGGCCAAGTTGATGGTTTGCATATCACCCATGCTTCCCACAGGTTTTATCACTGTGATAGTCTGGGTACATTAGAGAAACAAATCCATAGAAACTCATATATAAGAGAGAGTTTTATATAAAGGTTAAGTGCGCATCAAGAAAACATCCCAACCCAGTGCTGCCCAAGACCACAAGTCCAACATTAACCCCTTAACCCATATGTCTGACACCAATCCACAAAGTCCTCCTCCATCTCACAAACACACACAATGATGCCGATAGCAGGAGGAAAGCCGAATCAGTGAACGTGTAAGCATCTCCGCGTTAGCAGGGGTCTCCACGTGGCTGCTCCAGCATCCAGGGCTGCATTGGGGTAGGTCCATGCAGCTTCTCCTTGGGGAGGTCTTGCAGGAAGTGAGCCTTGCCAGCTGAAGCAGGGAACTGCTAAGGCAGCTGCACCCTGGTCCGACCATCACAAAGCAAGAGACCTGAGAACTTGAAAGGTGAGGCTCACCAAGCCATTTATCCCTCCGCCCTTCAATTAACCCCACATGTGTTTATCAGCCACGTTGGCACAATAAACTTTAACTATATCAATCACAAAGACAGGTAAGCCATCATGTCCAGAAGGACTTGATTTAGAGAATGGTATTCTCTGAAAAGAATTAGATGTTCTTCTTCAGATCCAGACTCTAGGACCACCAGTTAAATGCCTCTCAATGGGGAAGTTGATGGTGCTGTGCTGAGCAGGGATTCATTCCTTCTTCCAGGAGCTGGTGACATTCGGGACATCACGGTGGTTTTCACGGAGGCCGAATGGAAGAGGCTGAGCTCTGAGCAGAAGAACCTCCACAGAGAAGTCATGCTGGAGGTGTACAGGGATCTGCTCTCCTTGGGTGAGGATGTGCTCCTTGTACCCTCATTCAGTAGATATTTATTTGCTACCAACGAAGGCCCAGAGGAGCCCTGGTGGCACAGTGGTCAAGCAGTTGGCTGCTAACCTAAAGGTCAGAGGTTCAAACCCATCAGGCACTGTGTAGGAGAAACACGTGACGACCGTCTGCATTCATCAAGCTTGTCAGCACTGGAAACACCATGGGGCAGTTCTACTCTGTCTGAGAGGGTTGCTGGGAATCAGAGTCAAGTTGACAGCAGTGGTTTTATGGATTTGGTTTTGTTTTTTTCCTTTTTTCAGTCTATGTGCCAAAAGTTCCCGGGTGATCAAACAGTTTGTGCCCCACTGATAACCTCGTGTTTCATGGTTTCAACACACCTGATGGTGGCGTCACAGGAGAAAGATGACAGCCGATAGCACCAGACGAACCAAAATAAAATCAACTGGAAAAAGAGCTGATGGAGCCGTTCTGCTCTGGAACACACGGGGTGGCTGGGAACGGAAACTGACCGGATGGCAATGCATTTGGCCTCTCGTTTGGTTTTGTCTTTCCTGTCTGCCAGGTAGTGTTCTAGATCCTCAGAACACATTCGTAGATGTCATCGTGCCCAATCCCTGCCCTCACGGGGCCTACCTTTCAGTAGAAGGAGACTGTCAGCAAATGGCCCACTCTGCATGCAGAGACCACAGGATAGTATGTTCGAAAGTGATGACGGTGGCTGTCACGTGGGAAACTTGTAATCGAGCCAGAAAGAAGGGTATTGAGTATGACAGAGTGGCTGCCTGAATTTTTTCAATTGGGCGTTTGACATCAGCGAGGGGTAACCTTTGAGCAAAGATAGGTAGGCAGTGAGGGAGTTAGAGACCTTGGAGCCGATGGTCAGAGCGTTTCAGGTGTAGGGAGTTGGCGTTGGGGCTCCGGCCCACGGAAGGGGTGTTCCTGGCAAGCGTGAGGGACCGTAAAGAGGCCATGGTTTGCAAAAGGGAGAGCATGAGATGCCTTCCACAACAGAAGTGCAAAGAAATGCCACATTTACCACATCTTCTGGCTTTCATAAACCCTATAATGTATATATGTATATTATTAGCTTGCACGTTTAGAACCTTCATTAGGTAGCTAGCCACTAGTTTTCATTCGCATTGACTGTCTGTAGGGTTTTGAAACTGGTGACAAGCACATACATAGGTCACCCCTGTATAAACCTTGTTTGGGGCATCTTCAACCTCAGTCCGTTTCCTGGGCAACCGTACATGGATACGTTCCTGATCCCTTTGGCCAGCTTTGTTGCTCCTGGTGTGGATCCGTCCATCTGGTGTGGATCTGTCCATCTGGTGTCCCCATCTCCTTCAGGGCAACCTTCTGAATCTCCCTGAGTGCTCGAGGGGGCACGCTTCTTGAACCCCACACCGTGAATGCGCTTGTGAATGTGGGTGGCATCCTCTCTGATCATGACCTTGTGGTTGGCCCGATGGCCCTTCTTCTTCTCACCGCCCTTCTTTGCTGGAGCCATAGCGCCAGGACCAGGCTGGAAAGGACATTTTTTTGTTTTTTCATATATTAGAAATATTTACAGTGATTTTAAATCAGGGTTGGATAAATACAATCAATGTGTAACATAAACCTAGCCAACTCTTTCTGTAAAGAGCTAAGTAATAACTGTGGAGTCTGTCTGGTCATATGGTCTCCAGCCACGACTCAGTTCTGCTACTAAAGGCAAGAGCTGTCATTAGCAGCCAACAAATAGCCGTGGCTGTGTTTCAAGAAAACTTTAGTTATGGACACTGAAATTTGAATATCATATATTACAAAAATACTATTCTTTTGCCTTTCCCCCTCACCACTTAAAAAATGTGTGTATAGAGAGATATAGCTATAGCCTGTCATCTCTTGTTCTGAATCAGCACTGCCCAGTAGAAATGTAATATGAACCATATTAAAAAGAGTAAAACTGAAGAGGTGAAATTCATTTTAATAATACATTTTACTTATCTCAGTATGCTAGTATACTAGCATTCTAACATGTAATCAATGTCAAATCATAGTCATTGGGCAGTTCCCCCCTTTTTTGCAGACAGTCTTCAAAATCTGGTGTGCCGTTGACACTGAGAGAACATCGTAGCTCAGACGAGCCACATGTCAAGTGCTCAGAACACACATAAGGCAAACGGCTGCCGTGTTGTGAACTTGCCTACTAGATTTCCAGAGAAAGCGTGCAGAGAAAAAGCACACTTCTGGGGACACACACCAGTTCCAAGCAGGTGTTGCCTTCAACCAACGTGACTGTTTTCCTGATGCGAATTTACTTTATTCCCTTTTCATCTCTGGTGTGAGCTTATCTGATTTGGTATCATTTGAACTATTCCCACCCTGAACTCTTCCCATCAAACTGAGTAAAGGCAATTCCCGACGTATTATGACACCCCAGTGCTGTAATGAACTGCACTTAACTTCAGTTCAGTTATAATGCACTGCACTTTTGGGGGTACATCTTATATCAGCCTTTACATACTACCTTCAGTGTTGAAGCCATGAAGGACATTTCCACATAGGTCATAGAAACTGTTGTTTCCAAATACTGTACTTTAACACGAACAATATATGCCTTCTCTGTTTATCATTCACTCCCTCCCCACATGATATTTTACTAAGTGTTGATGTGACAGCTTTTTGTAAAACATTGGTGTAAAACATTAGTATAGCATGGTGTAAAACATTAGCATTGGCATAAAACATTCGCATAGCATGCTAATGTTGGTGTAAAACATTAGCATCGCATGCTCACTGCCGTCGAAGGCGCTCGTGAATCGTGTGAACATACTGTACTAGCGGAGTGTGATGGGCAGTGTAAATCTGCCTCAGGAGGAAAAGCTGACAGGCGATAGAAGTTATTTACCAGGCAGAAGCGTGTCCGACTCTGCTGGAGTGCTGAGGGTCTGGGTGTGCATGACCTGGAGTACCGTAGCCATGTCCTCTGCCTCCAAGCCATTTCTGACTCCTGGTGACCCTGTAGGGCAGAGCAGACCCGTTTCCCTGGCTGGAACTCTTATAGAGCAGACTGCCACGTCTCCCACTCACGAAGCCGCAGCCAAACGCTTAAACCACTGCACCACTGACTGCCATCAGGGTGATTCCAACCCACAGAACGGCCCCCGTGGCTCTGTGGAACTCCATCTGCACAGGGGCAGCAAGCCTCCTCTCTCTCATTCGAGTGACCGGTGGTTTCAAACTGCTGACCTTTTGCTTAGAAGCCCAGTGCGGAACCCACTCTGCCACCGGGGCTCCTTCTTCTGGGTGGCAATAGAATGCATACTTTGTTTATTAAAAACAACAACATGGATTACAGTATTGGTGGGAAACGAATTGTGTTGTACGTGTTGTCAGTGACACGTGTGGCAGTGGCGTTGTTCGCTGTGTCTGACTCCCGGTCGTCCGTGTGTGAAGAGCTGAGCTGCCCCACTGGCTGCCCTTGCGATGCAGACCCCCAGCCTCTCTTCAGATGCACCCACCTTTGGGCTGGTGGTCCAAGTCTCACCTGTTGGTGCCCCCCAGGATCCCAGCACTGAGATTCTGTCTGTCCTAAGAGGAGGCGGGACAGCTCAGTCAATCCCACTAGGGCCACGCTAATGGAAGACTCTCTCGCCAGCAGATCCAAAGCCAGGAATCGACCCCGCTGCCTCCCGACTTCTGGCTCTCTCCTGTCAGCAGTTCCTCAGCCAGCGTGAGCGTCAGCTCTTCCCAGGCTTCTGTGCAGAACATCACCTCCATCCAGGGAGCTCCAGCCCAGAGCCTCGGAAGCAGCCGGAGCAGCAGGAGTCTCCTCGGAGCTGCAGGAGCAAGAACACAGAAGGTCAGGAGAGAGAAGACGTCTCCACACACTTGTGGGAGAGGACAGAGGAGAGAAAGACTTCAAGGAAATTCTCCATCCCACCCCAGAGACCCTCACCAAGTCCCAAGAAGGCAGCACAGCGGTAGGAATAGGGCCCAACTCAGCCCCGAGGGTGAGCTCTGTGGAAACAGACATGGGGTTGAAGGAATTAGAGACCTCAAGATTTGGAGCAGTCAGTGCTAGATGGGCCAGACTGTGTCATGAAATCAGGGCTCACAGAACATAGGTCCCTCCTTGTGGAGAAGCCCGATGTGTGTAGGGAGTGTGGGCGAGGCTTTAGACACAAGCTAAATCTCAGCAGACACCAGAGGACCCACTCTGGGGAGAAGCCTTATGGGAGCCTCGAGTGTGGACAAGGCTTTAGCCGAAAGTCAGGCCTCCTCGGACACCAGGGGACACACCCAGAAAAGAAGCCTTGTATTTGCAATGTGCGTGGGCGAGGCCTCAGCCGGAAATCACACCTCCTTTATGCACCAGAGGACACACTCTGGGGAGAAGCCTTATGTGTGCAAGAAGTGTGGCCGAGGCTTTACCCGTAGATCAAATCTCCTTATGCAGTGGAGGACACACTCAGGGGAGAAGCCACACGTGTGCAAGCAGTGTGGACGGGGCTTTAATTATAAGCAAAGCCTCCTGAGACATCACTCGGCTTACTCGGGACAGAAGCCCTATGTCTGCAGTGACTGTGGCCGAGGATTTACCCGTAAATCAAGTCTACTTATGCACCAGAGGGCACACTCGGGGGAGAAGCCACATGTGTGCGATGAGTGTGGCCGAGGCTTTACCTGTAAATCTAATCTCCGTATACACCGGAGGACACACTCTAGGGAGAAGCCTTATGTGCGCAAGGAGTGCAGGCAGGGTTTTACCTGTAAATCAATCCTCCTCTTGCACTGGAGTGCACACTCTGGGGAGAAGCCACATGTGTGCAAGGAGTGTGGGCGAGGCTTCAGCCAGAAGGCAGGCCTCCGTGTGCACCAGAGGACACACTCAGGGGAGAAGCCACATGTGTGCAAGGAGTGTGGGCAAGGCTTCAACCGCAAGGCAAACCTCATCAGACATCAGGAGACACACTCAGGGAAGAAACCACATGTGGGCAAGGAGTGTGGCCGAGGCTTTACCCGTAGATCAAATCTCCTTATGCAGTGGAGGACATACTCAGGGGAGAAGCCACACATGTGCAAGCTGTGTGGATGGGGCTTCAGTCATAAGCAAAGCCTCCTGAGACATCACTCGGCTCACTGGGGACAGAAGCCCTATGTCTGCAGTGACTGTGGCCGAGGCGCCCCAGCCACATTGGCCCTTTAACTTGGCGAGTTCGAGTTCTCTCCCACGCTTACTGCCATCGAGTCGATGCTGATGCATAGTGACCCGCTCGTAGGTTTCTGAGACTCCCTGTTTGTGGGAGTGGACCGCCCAGTCTTTCTCCTGTGGACCGTGCGGATCACAGCCCGAAGTGTAACTTGTATACCACCACGGCTCCTAAGTGGGAGCCAGAACTGCCCAATTGTTGCCAACTCCGAATGCCCGGGCGCTGACCCCTCTGTCCTAGGGTAATAGCTCCTTGCTGGAGAGGGTTTCCCTAAGGACCTTCGATTTTGTTTCCTTAGTGCAGTTTACCAGGCTCACAGGATACCAGACTTGGAGAGTCAGAAAACGCACGGAGCGTGTTTGACACCCATCAAAGTAGAGCTCAATAACATGTCAGCGTTGTGACTGGCCCCGGTCACATCCCAAGTTCATTTGAATGGGAAGCACCTGGGGATGTGGGCCCGCATCCTTACTCACTTTGTACCTAACTTTGCAAAGATTCCCTCTCTAACTCCCGAAACACTGTTCCTGGTCAGAACTGGAAGGCACCAGGAAATCGCATATGGATATTTAAGAACTAGGTGTTTGAGTAAGGAGGATTCCAGATCACCCTACCCCCTTCATTGCCATTGGCAAAGAAAGGCCATCAGAGCAGACTTCTTACCCCAATCTTATCCCATAACTGGCAGCAACCTTAGCCATCCCCAAGGAATGTGAGAATGGCCTGTCAGTTCTAGCCTAACAGAAGGAGGGAGCAAAGGGACCATCCTTCCAAAAGTAGTCAGGGCTTCACTAGCCTGCTTGCTTCTTCCGTTGTCTCTCGGACAGTCTGCTGGGATCAGCGAGAAGCGGAAGTGAGGTGTGCTGAGCTCTCTAGCAGTGAGGAAGGAGAGGGTTATAGAAAACCAGAACCAAGCTGCCATTGAGCCGATTCCTACAGGGACTCTCACTGCCAACGAGTCTATGCCGCCTCCTAGTGACCCTATAGGACAGGGTAGAACTGTCCCTGTGGGTCTCAGACTGTCAATCTTTACAGGAGTAGAGAGCCTCATCTTCTCCCCATGGAGTAGCTGATGGTTTCAAACTGCCGGTCTTGAGATTAGCAGCCCAAGGTGTAAGCCACTTCACCCCCTCACTCTCTCGGATGTTGGCTTTGATGCCCAGGGAGGATGAGCTTTTGTGTTAGGAGCTGATGCCTTATTTCCAGTATTAGATCAGTGATCGTAAACTCGAACATTAGGGGAGTTCAGACAACTGTTAATAAGGGGGGCAATTACAGATTAGGGGGCAGAGGGCTACTTTGGAGAATCAGGAACCAAATATTCAAGTTGCTTCACAGCATCCTTGTTGGCCTCTCCCTGTGATCCCACTCCAACAAGTCTGTGAGTCCCACACCTTTTAGGTATTTTCAGCAACTTGTCCATAGCTCTGTCCTTTCACTGAGCTGTGACCTTGAATTCAGAATCCTCCATTGGCCTCTCCTCCAGTTTCTGATTTGTCTTTTTTTTAAATCATTTTATTGGGTGCTCATACAGCTCTTATCACAATACATACACACATCCATTGTGTCAAGAACATTTGCTGCCATCATCATTTTCAAAACATTTTCTTTCTACTTGAGCCCTTGATATCAGCTCCTCATTTTCCCCCTCCCTCTACTACCCTCCCTCCTTCACGAACCCTTGATAATTTATAAATGATTATTATTTTTCCATGTCTTACACTGACCGATGTCTCCCTTCACCCACATTTCTGTTGTCTGTTATATGTAGATCATTGTGATCAGCTCTCCCTTTCTCCCCCCATCTTCCTCTTAACCTCCTGGTATGGCTACTCTCATTATTGGTCCTGAGGGGTTTATTTGTCCTGGATTCCCTGTGTTTCCAGCTGTTAACTGTACCCGTGTACATGCTCTGGTCTAACTGGATTTGTAAGGTAGTTTTGGGATCATGAGAGAGGGAGGGAGGAAGCATTAAAGAAGTAGAGGAAAGTTGTATGTTTCGTCAGTGCTATACTGCACTCTGACCGGCTCATCTCTTCCTTGTGACCATTCTGTAAGGGGATGTCCAATTGTCTACAGAGGGACTTTGGGTCTCCACTCTGCACTCCCCTCATTCACATTGATATGATTTTTTGGTTCTGAGTCTTTGATGCCTGATACCTGATCCCATCTATACCTCATGATCACACAGGCTGGCATGCTTCCTCCATG